GCGCCGGTGCGTGTCGCGCGCCTGGGGCCAGTGCCCCCCGCCTGCCGTGGGTGGGGCCGGCCTAGGTTGTCGACGGGCGCCATGGTGCTCCCGGGCACCGCATTGGGGACCACTGCTGTAGATGGTATTATGAGCTTCGTGGGCACAGCCCACTTCAGATGAATTGTCTTTTATCTTGAATACTCTTTGGTTTGGGCTTCTCTGCATACCGTGTCGCGCGCCTGGGGCCAGTGCCCCCCGCCTGCCGTGGGTGGGGCCGGCCTAGGTTGTCGACGGGCGCCATGGTGCTCCCGGGCACCGCATTGGGGACCACTGCTGTAGATGGTATTATGAGCTTCGTGGGCACAGCCCACTTCAGATGAATTGTCTTTTATCTTGAATACTCTTTGGTTTGGGCTTCTCTGCATACCCAAGATAGGAGTCTCCTAGTTCTGGTTAAGAGTCCAGAGTCATGCTCCTTTCATCCTATGCCATGTCTACATATCAGGAAGCTCCAGCCAGCAATGTTCCCTCTAATTTTTTCCATCCATATGCAGAATAAACGTTTATGTGCACTGAGGCATGTGTGGATGTGCACCACCAATAGAAACACAGGCTGGCAGCTATGAGTAGCTCTGGGCAGTCTGCTAATCAGCTGGATAGCATTTGAAACTCTCCTAGCTGCCCGCTCAAGCTCAGAACTCACAGGGAACACTGCCAGGACCTCAAATGGTGAACTGACATGCGTGGAAGCATGATGTTGAGGGCAGTGATTCAAGTGAGCAGGTGCAAGGCTGCTTAAAACCATGCACAGTCTACTTTTGGAACTAACTCACTGCCAGGAATGCTGGGAAGGCAAGAACTATTATTGGATTAAAAAATGATTAGATAAATTAATGGATGATAGGTTCATCATCAATGGCTACTATGCAGTATCGTCAGGGATGCAACCCCATGCTCTGGGTTGCCGTAGTCTGATTGCCTGCAGCTGGGAATGGGTGACAGTGGATGGCTCACTAGAGAATTGCCTGTTCTTATCATTCCCTCTGAAACATCTGGCATTGGCCACGATCCAGAGACAGGATACTGGGATGGATGGAGCATTGGCCTGACCAATCTGACTGTTCTTATGTTCTGCCTTGGTAACTAAGGCATTGCCCCTCTTGATTTGTGGAAAGGCTGAGCCTGCAGACTAGGTATAACAGATGAAAAAAGTTAAGGCTCTCCTGAAGTTAGGATGGAGCTGATGCCCTATTATTGGAGGGATGGAAGGGAGCTGAACTCCAAGTTTCCTATGTCAGAGTTTCTCACCCTTTTCCATTCCAGGACCCCCTCTCTATGTAACGGGACTCCTGCCCCCAATTAGCAACATACTTGTTTGTGGCCCCCTCTTGAGCACTTCTGCCCTGCTAGCTTGCAGGCTGGCGTGTGCATGGAGAAGCTGAGTTTACTGGCGGGGGAGGAGGTTTGCAGGGAAGTGGGTGGGCTAGAGTAAGCATAAAGTAAACTGAGCTCTCACTGCCTGCCTTGACTGGGAGAGTTTAAAGAACAGCCCTCTTCAGTCAGACCAAACTAGGTGTGTATGCAATTGCTGAGAACTGAATCTCTACCCTGCATGCCAGTTCCAGCAGGCTAAGGGGTGCGGGTGAAGGGAGCCATGCCCCTCCCCCTGTTCCAGCAGGTTGAGAGGTTCATGTGCAGTGAGCTGAGCCCCCCCCCAGTTCCAGCAAGCTAAGGGGTGCATGTGCAAAGAGCTAAGCCCCCCCAGTTCCCACAGGCTATGGGGTGCACGTGCAGGGAGCCGAGCCCCCAGTTCTGCAGGCTAAGGGGTGTGCTCGCAAGGAGCCAAGCCCCCCAGTTCCAGCAGGCTAAAGGGTGCGTGTGCAAGGAGCCGAGCCCCCCATTCCAGCAGGCTAAAGGGTGCGGGTGCAGGTGCGCGTGCAAGGAGCCGAGCCCCCCCACGCAGCAGGTGTCCACGCGCTCCCCAGCAAAGTTAATCAGAAAACTGCAGCTCAGCTTCCGAAGCGATGCGACCCTTCTCGCCCGGGGCGGTGCTACCCCCCGCTGAGCCGGACTCTGTATTGGGCCTGACCTGGCCTAGTCCCGCCCCTGGCCCGCCTGTGGCCGCGTGCCCTGGGCCCGCCCCGGGGGAGAGGGCGGGCGGCTCCTGCGGCAGTCCCGCCCGGCGCTTCCGCCCGTGTCCCTGCTGCTCCGGCCAGCCACGCTGCTGCCGGTCGGCGCCGGTACGCTGGGTCCGGGCGCTTCCCCGCCAGCCGGCGGATTGGCTGTGCGACCGCTTCGTCCCACAATGCAGCGCATGGCGCGTCATTGAAGAGAGACCATGATGGCGGCGGCCGTGGCTGCGGGGGGGGCTCCTGAGGTGATCGCCCAGCTGGAGAACGCGGCCAAAGTGCTCATGGTGAGGGCGCCCCCGCGCCAGACGGGAGGGGCTTTAGGCAGCGCCGGGCCCGCGGCCCCCCCAGTGCCTTCCACGCGCCCCTTCCTCTTCAGAGCTGTGCTGGATGCCCCCCGAGCCTTTTATGCCCCCCAGGGCAGTTTCCGTGTGTGGTTCCCGGAATTCCTTCCCCTGCCTCCTTTATCTTGCCTTGGACAGTCTGCCGCTGTTCTCTCAACACCCCCCTTTCTTTTCGGTAGTTTCCCTCGTCTAACCCTCTTTTCCCCTTCCCAAGCACAACTCTCCACACGCAGGAGCCTGCCACTCTGGAAAGTCTCACTAGAGAGGCCGCTTATATGCCTTCATTCCCATGAGCCCCAACCCATCAATCAGCATTCTCCACTGTACTAGTCTCTTCTTACCCATTTCCTTTAGGGGACCCTTCTTTGCTGGTCCCCTCTACTTGCACCTCCTTTCCTCACAAACTGCCCTCCCGTCACCATTCGTGTTTCCCCCACTCCTTGGGAAACTGGCAGAGTGAAATCTCTGCTCTCTCTCCCCTCCCCCCATCTCTTCCTCTTGCTGCTTGTGCAAACTATTGTGTGTGGGGGTTACATAAAACATGGCTAGAAGTGCCTGTTCCATCTTTCTCTCCTTGCAGTAATGGAAACTTGGAACCCCAAGGGTGAATTGCAAACATGTCATAAGAGGTGGCTGAGTTTAATGGTTGGTGAAGTGGTTCCTGAATAGTTTGTAATGTCATTTGTGGTTATAAAGGCCGCACGAAGGTGTTGTATATGAGATGTATGGAGGTAAGAACTTGTGTGACTCTATCTGCCCTGTGTTGTGAAATACACTCAAGGAGTCTCAAGGGCTTTGTAGTGAACAAACAAAAGTACTCCACTTAAAGTACCAGCAGCACTATAACAAAGCTGGTACTTATTGTTTTGATATTTATATAGTGATGTAGTGTGTAGAACTCTTAGGTAGCAAACACATTTTGTGAGCTGTTGTCTAAGTCATGTTTTGTATTTTCAGAGGTGGTGGTGGTGTTTCAATTATTACAGAGTTTGTGAGGGGTAAAAATTGTCACAATCATTCAATATTTATGAAAGAGAGGTGGATTAGAACTATGCAGTTATTCAACTGACTTTATTTTTGGTGGTCTGAACTTTTTTGCCCTCAACTGAGAATTGCTTTGGTTTCTGGCACTGAATATTGTACAGTGCTGAAAATATAAATAAACTCATATACCAGGCATTAGCTAATTAAACTTTATATAAAACGGAGTGCTTTTTGATTTTCTGTATAAAAAGTTGTACATAAATAGTTTCAAACATAAATCTGTTTTAATAATGTTTGGCTGTAAAATTTTTCCTGCAGTGTTGTTTTCTGATGTCTGTTAAAATTCTGACCTTATTGATCATTTGAAAGACTGACGATTTGATGGGAGTTCAGTGTAGCTGAACATAAGTTAATTAGGAGTCTAGTTGAAATATTTATACTAAAGTAGAGCCTGCTGGCTGCATGGTATGAGGTATTGTGCATATTAGAGATGTGAAAATATAACCATGTAAGTGGTTAACTGGTGAGCCTGGGTACATTGGTTAACATTCACAGTTACACGCAGGGAGTTGCCTACTGCCCTATGCTGTTGTTTCTGATACAGAGGCAGTGGTGAGGGGCAGCAGGTGGGAGCTGGTATGTGCAGGGCAGCCGGTAGGAACCAGCTCCTCATGTGTACTGACTCCTGAGGCAGCCACCTGCTGCCTCATGCTGCGGCCAGGGTGGTAGGCGGGAGTCAGTATGTACAGGGAACCACCTTAAAAGTTGGATCCCTGTGCATACTGACTCCTGGGGAACTGACTGCTGCCTCACGTGTAATTGTTACACATTTACTTAATTACACATATTTTAACATCCCTGCTGCACGTATTGAAATCGTGTATATCCCAAATACTTAACAGTCTAATTTCCTGTGAATTACACTAACCAAAATTAAAACTACTTTTAATTCTGAATAAGAGAGCCCACATAAGGATTCAATGGGGTTAAAATAAATCTGTTTTAAGTTCACAGTAGGGAGGCTGGATATTGTTTACTTGAATAATTGTGTAATGGCACCAAATCTTCTGGTTACATGATTATTCAGTAGACCCTAACAACGAGGGCATCAGCCAGTGTATTCCTGGCCACACTCCTGGGAAGCCGCCTACTGCTCTGTGCTGTTGCCTCTAACAGAGGCAGCAGTGGTGGGCAGCAGCAGCCTCGGTCTGCAGGGGGGCCCAAGCTCCCCGTTAAGAGGTTGTTCTGCCATCCCACGGAACAGCCTCTACCTGCGGTGAGCCCGAGCCCACTGTGGATAGAGGCTGCTCCGCAGCAGCAGTCCCCATCTGGAGGGGGCCCAACCTTTCTATGGACAGGGGCTGCACTTGCATCCCACCTGCCCCACTGCCTCTGTAGGAGGCAGCGGGGGGGAGAGGGGGGGAAGGTGGCTCTGCAGAGCCGGCATGCACTAAAAGCTGGCTCCTTAGGTGTGACAGCTCCCGCCTGCCCCCTCTCACTTTGCCTGCTGCTGCTGCCTTTCTGTCAGAGTCAGCAGCATGTGAATGGGGTGGGGGAGGTGGTTCTGCAGGATCCAGTGCTTGTAGGGAGCCAGCTCATGGACACCGGCTCCTGCCTTCTCCCTCCTTGCTGCCTCTGATACAGTAGGGGAATGTGTATAGTTGTTAGGATTAACCGATAAGCTGAGGTTTATCGGTTAATCATTTACACGCTATATGCTAGCATCCCTAATTTACAACTTTAGTTAATTTGGATTAATTTTCCTGAGTGTTGAAACTAAATGCTTAGAATCTATTTTGCGTGTGAGTAACTCTTTTTGTTACTCATCAGTATAACTCTACAGCATTGACTTTAAAAAAGTTAAATGTGTATTCTCAGACACACAACAGTGTATTTAGTTACATTTCCAAAGACAAGAACTTTTTTTGGAAATTTTATCATAGTAGCTATTTTGGAAAAACTCTCTAAGGTGGGCACTCTTAGGGTGGAGTAAGAGTGTCCACATGGAGTTATTTTGGGACACTATTCCAGACTGGATTGGGGAAATTGTTTGAGAATAAATCTTCTTGAGTAGTTATTTTGGTAAATTTTCAAGTGTAGCCAACTCTTTAATAGCAAACAATATAAAAAATAAATTCCAAGAATTGTAGATAAAATATAACAAAAATTAGATGTATGCAGATTATCAGGGCTTGACAAACGGCGGTGAAAGCTGCTTGCCAGCCCCACACTGCGCAAGCGCAAGAGCCGCATTGTGCATGCACGTGCCGCCGGTAAATAGGGCACACGGATGAAATCTACTCACCATGGGCGAATAGATTCTATAGTTTGTCGAGCCCTGCAGATTATAGTAAATGTAGGTAATGTATTTAAAGATTTGAATTACGGTGCGTCTCGTACACATACTTCTGAAACTGATGAGAAATATTAGACATTCAGCTACCGATCTTAGACTTCCTTTTTGAGCATATCAGATTATGGAGGTAGAAGTATTTAGTTGTATAAAGGAAATTTAATAATAGAAGTGTATTGTTACAGATATTATAGGTGTATAGATGTTACAGACAGGACTGGGCAGAAGACAGGGATGATTAGGAAGCCTTTTTTAGGTGAGTGCCATTAACTTTTGCATCTTAAAAACAAATTTTTAGTTGCATGTTGGTTAGGGATGTTAGTGTGTACAGTAAAACTCCATTGGTCCGGCATCTGATGGTCCGGCACCATCAGGAACCCGGAAGTGCTCCGGGCAGCTGGGATGTTACAGACAGGACTGGGCAGAAGACAGGGATGATTAGGAAGCCTTTTTTAGGTGAGTGCCATTAACTTTTGCATCTTAAAAACAAATTTTTAGTTGCATGTTGGTTAGGGATGTTAGTGTGTACAGTAAAACTCCATTGGTCCGGCATCTGATGGTCCGGCACCATCAGGAACCCGGAAGTGCTCCGGGCAGCTGGACCATTGGAGCTGCTCTGACCCCGGCTTC